GGCCCGGAAGGGCCCCATCCGCTGCGCCGGGAACTGGCCGCAACCCAAGCGGGTGCTGCTGGTATCCGCATCCGTGCGCATTCCTCGTTAATCCCGAATTTAGGTTGCAAATCTTCATTACACAGCGCTCCAAACTCTCGTTTAACCTCCCAGATCCGTCCTTCCCGCTGCCTGCTCCGATGGCAGCCGGATTAATTAATGTTTCACAGCGGTGATTAGACTTGGGCGTAAAACCCATGCGGACGTGGAGCGGCCCCGTCGGGAAGGATTCGGATGGGGAATGGGGGGATAAATCACAGCGCTGCAGTGCCCAGAGCAGGGCAAAACCCTGCGCTCCCGCGGGGATGGATGGGGCAACGGGAGCTCCCTCCGGGCAGAGGGAAGTTCAGAGGTTTGTTTTGAACCTGAATTGTCACCACCGGAAAAAAGGGGGGGAAAAAAGGGGGAAAAGAATGAAGAGAGTGCACGGGAGCATCCCCACGAGCGTCACTTCTTGCACAATCCCCCATTGCACAAGTGACTGCTGGGCTTGACGGGCTCCGGATGGAGCAGACGCAGCGGGTGACGGGCGACTCCGGATCCGTCACGGAAAGAGAGCAGCGGAGGCGCGACGCCTCCAAGGACACCGCGTTATTTTGGAAAAAATATGAGAGAAAGGGGAACAAAAGCCCCAAACTGCACCTCCCGCCAACGCAGCGCCCGGGTAATCCAGCCCATGGGCCGGGAGATGGTTCAAAGGAGAGATTAAAAAGATACCGATAATCCCGGCCCTGCCTAATGCACCGCTCATCCCGAGGAGCCCCCGGAGCTCGGCGGCTCTGGGACGTTTTGCAGGCGCCGGTGCAGGAAGGGCCCCGATGCCGGTCCCAGGAAGGGCCCGGTAGTGACTGGGGAGAGCAAGGGCATCCTGGTGTCCCCAGGTCCCTGTCACCCCCTGCGCCAGCCCCAGCGCACGGAGGGGCCGGATCCCCCTGCGGATGCAGGTGCCGAGGAGCGTTCCGCGCTCCGGGGGCTGGATACCGCTGGCAGCTCCCCGCAAATTCCCGCTTTGCGGGCGGCCCAAATGGCCCGAGGAAAGCAAATAAATAAATAAAATAGACGGAGAAATAAATAAACGGGAGCCAACCTGGACGTGACTCGGACTCGCAGCGCCGGCTCCGGACACGCGCGCGGACGGGCTCCTGGAACGGGGCGAGGATGCGCCGGTGCCG